TTTTTGAGACAGGGTCTCACTATGTAGTTGAGACTGCCCTGGAACTCACTATGTACCTCAGGCTGGTTTTGAACTCCCTGCGATCCTCCTGCCTCAGCCTCCCGAGTGCTGGGATTACAGGGGTGCGCCACCATGCCCGGTGAATGATTAATTTCTTGGAACCTCAGTTTTCCCAGTCAGGCTATAACACACTTTTCTCTTGCGGCTTTTGTGACTATTCAATGAAATGATATTTACAAGATGCACTGTTCCTGTGACACAATGAAGAACCCTAGGTAAATGACACAGACTTGCCTAAAGAAACTCATAACGTAGTGCATTAAAAATAACTATGGTTCCCATCATGTACATGTTGATTAACAGTCTGCACAAATATCTATGGAGGCCAGGGGCGAGTGGGTTGTGCCAAGGGGTCCAGTCGGGGGAGGTATTACTGAAATGTTGGCATTTACCGGGGTTGTTGGGTGTGAATGGCTTTTACCAGATGGAGGAAGCAGGCGTGAGAAGGAGGATAGCAATTTCTCAGGTGCATTTTCATCAAACATTGTTCAACCACAGGGCAGTGAGCTGAAACAGGCTTTTATGTAATCTTAGAGTCCTGCAGCCACGCTAGAATCGTGCCTTCTATTAGGTGGCAGTCTGTTAGCAGGTCTAACAGTTTGTTTTGTTTTTTATCCCTGGACATCATCTAGCAATAATGCCGATATTCTGTCATTCAAAAGCCATTTAGTGTCTCCTTATCATAGTAACGACCAGCGGGGTTCATAGCCACTGGGAAACTAGCTGTTTGGAGCCAAATTATTTTCTGTCCCCTCGCAGTTTGGTCCTGCAGGTTGCACCTAGACCTGGCCTCCTCGGCTGAGCTCTGATCGAAAGGGAGCACAGAGCCTCCAGCGGGGCCAGATTTGCAGACTCACCAGCATTGTCTTTGCCACTCAGGAGAGAACTACAGTCCAGCCCTCTGGGGTTCCGTGCCTGTCAAGAACCCTGGACATGGCACGGGGTGCGGAAGATGTTTGGATTCGAGAGCAAGAAGCATTTGCAGGCACTGTTTACCAAAGACCTCTTTGGAAACGTTTTCTTCTTATGTATCACAGATTTTGTAAACTTTTATCTGCCAATTATTTATTTATTGAGTCATTTTTCTCTTAGTAACACAAAATGAATGAAAATCAGTAAGCAGCAAAGGCAACAAGAAAATCTCACTTTCTGAAAGATGTGATGGATGCTTTTATTACATTGTGTGATCTCACAGGTGAATGCACCGTTTTCATTATGGATTCTGGTGAACTGAGTACAGCTCAGATCCAGCTCCAGTCCTTCTCAGGGGCTCTGATGGTGTGGGTGTCAGTAGTGAACAAAACAAACTTTGTCTTGTTCATATTTACACTAAAACACCGAGAGACTGAATATGCATGTGATGGAATCTGGTTAATGACAGCAGCCCTAATTTTTGTCTCTATTTCCAATTCAAGACCAAGCAGAGAAAGCCAAATATGTCCTCCAAACAGTAACAGGATGCCATGCTCTGATTAGCCCTGCTGCATCTTCTCTTTTCCAACAGCTTGCTATCAGGGGACACCTGAAGTCTACCTGTCTTCTCTTGCAAAGCTGTTCCACTCTTCTTGCCTCTGTGTCTCTTCCAAATACATGGGATGGTGGCTGACTCCGTGGTACCACAAGCTTCCCATAACCAGCCTCTGGTTTTCCTCTTCGATGGTCTCGGTTTATCTCTGTAGGGCTATAAAATGGGAGTAACAGTTGCCAACATACAGGCCTATCATAAGGTTCACTGGAGATCACTCTGGTTTGTTTAGCTTTGTTTTCACAGTACTTTCCTCTTCATGTATTCTATTGCTAGTACTCTCTCCACCAGCACCCTGCATTTATGAAGGATATAATATTTTAATTTACTTGCTTCTCTGTTCCTGCCTATCCTCTGCTTCCAGGGGCTGTGACAGTTTTGCATCCCAGCATTCCTTGGTGAAGGAGAGCTTGCACTTCTGTCCTGGGCAACTCATGTGGGTGTGGTGGCTTGTGGCAGCAGAGAAAGCTTGTTCCTGTTGCCCACCGCCTGCCTTTGCCTTCCGCACCCCCAGTCCTCAGGGTTACACAGCTCCAGAAACACTTAAATTGAAGCCAGCTGCCTATCATTATACCCACGGTCTATTGTTGCCGTTCTACTTCAGCTCCTTTGACCCTGGTTGTTGACAGTGCTGTTATTTTCATCTTTAAAAGCTTCAAATCATTTCTGTCTCCTGTTATAGCTCATCCACCTTTTAAAATTCCCCTGTTCCATACCCTACTGTTTATAATCTTCATTTGAATCTTCAACGCCTCCCCCGAATTTCAGAACAGGACATTTTCCCCTTGAGGTCACAGAGTAAAGTTAAATGTGAAATAAATTGTTATAGTTGATTGCCTTAGAGAAATTTTCAGTGATCCTGGGAACATTAGAGCCCAGGAGGATTTCAGAGATCATCTAGAGCATTGCAACTCATAGGTTTTCACTACTGACCCCTTTTATTCTTTTCTGTGTGCCTCACATGCTTTGAAAACAAAGTCATCTGTTTGGGAAATAGCACTGTCAAGTAAAAAGTGATTTGGTTTAATTCTGTTTTGTTTTGTTTTTTTTTTTTTGTTCTGGAAAGACATAATTAACTGTCCATCAAAATTACCAGTTGTTATTAGGTAAATTGTATTTTTCCATGGAGTTCTAATTCCCTCTGAAAGTGGAGGAACTTGACATTTGGGTAGCACGGACAGCTGGATAGCTGTGGATATTGATATGCTTCCCCTTAGTTCTGAAATATTCAGCATCACTTGAGAGTCCTAGCATCACTTTTGCAGGCCCCTGACCATCTTGGATTCCAGGATGAGAAAAACAGTGTGATCTACAGTCTTGTCACCAGGTGAAAGGAAGGGCCGAGTAAGTGCCCTATCCAGATTGGTAGGGCCCAGATTAAGACCCTGCTCCCCTAAATCCTATCCTTTGGCTTTTCCAGTGTCTCCAAGCATCTTGGGCATTGAAGTTACGGTGGGGTCCAGAGCCAGAGAGCTCTGCTATTCTGGGCGAGGTATAAGAATAGCTGGCCAGTACCAGGTACTTCTCTGCATACTGCAAATGCCTTCTGTGCATCAGAACAGGTCATCCTTGCAAACACCATATGAGGGGAACAGACACTACCTGCACTCCGTGGGGAGAGGACCCCAAGCACAGATTGAGAAACTTGACTCTGGTCACCTGGCTGGCAGGTGACAGGGACATGGCTGGAAAGACAGGAAACTGCAGCCAAGTTTCACTACATCTCTCTACAGGACAGATCATCAGCCTCTGCTGAGGGCTGGAGGACATGGACCCCACCTCAAGAATCAGTATCACTGATAAGTGGGCTGTATAAACCGTGAATCTTAACTCCACGTGGCCGATGCTCCTGTGGACACGTGCCCAGGCACAGGGAGGGACCCCCAGTCCACCCATGGGATGAGGGCGACGCAGTTTCCTGGAGAGAGTGACAGGGAGCTGATTCCCAAAGGAGTGATATAGGTGAGGCACATGAGGAGGGATGGGAGGGCTCTTCTGAGTGTGGGGTCAGCATGGCCTGACTTAAAAGAGACAGAAGTCAATGTTTTTCTGCAACATGAAGTGCTCACAGGCAGCTGTTAATTTCCTGAAGCCTCTCATAATTTTTGCATTTGCTTTGTTTTCTGAGGCGGTCAAACGATATATTCCACGCTTCGCTCACTCCTCTTGCCTCAGCCTCAGGAGTCCCAGGATCACAGGCTGTACCGCTGTACGTGGCAGTAGTATTCCTTCTCATGTGTATCAAAACTCATACTAAACAATGAGCTCTGGATTGCAAAAGAGGATTGATTAATTTTGCACCTGTCCATTAAGTCTTAGTCCATAATTTAAGACAGAAACACACACGTGCCATCCTGCAGCTTCTGTAACAAAAAGCCGCAAGCTAGGAGGTAAAACAAGACTGAGCTCTCACCCCGCTGGAGGTGCGTGTCTGAAGCCAGGTGTCCATGGGGTCCCTCGCTGCTCTCCCTGCTGGTGGTGACGGGGCACTTCCTTGGTTTGCAGCCACATCGGTCCCCCCTCAGCCACTGTCTCCACTTGCCTTCCTTCCCGGTGCGTATCTCAAGGTCAGCTTCCCGGAGTTATGGCTCGCTCTAAGCCAGTGTCCTCTTCTTAATGAATTACAACTGCGAAGATCCTATTTCTGAGTAATATCCCGTGTTTTATGGTCCGGCCTTGGAAGGACATGCAAGTCGGGAGCAAAAACAGGAGCTGAGATCGAAATGTTGATAAAGGCACCAGCACGACAGTGACATTTACATTATCAAAATGTTCTGTTTTCCCAAGTGACCCACTGCTGAATTCACGGTGAATTCATTTGTTTACCAGCACATGCTGTGTGGTTGGTACTTGCAGCATTAGCTGACCTTGGACTCATTATGTCCAGGCTGGCCTGGGATTTTGGGACAGTATCTCGCCTCAGCCTCCTGCGTCCCAGGATTACAGGCCCGCGTCACCATGCCCAGTACTCACCAGCATTTAAAGTACCTGTCCTGGACTCTGCTATATTTGCAACTTTTCTTTGAACTTCTAAGGCTTATTTGCTCTGAGTGTAATTGAGGACAATTGCTGCCCTGACATTCTTTCAAAGTTGAGGGCTCAAATAAATCTTCCTGTTTTTACCCTGAGAAATCATAGGGTATGTAAAGTGTTAACTCAGGGATGTTTTCTTCTTTGTTTTGAGGGTTTTTTAAATTTTTAAATTTTTTTTTGCCCTGGTCTCTGGTGCCTGCCATAATTAATCAATTGAGCTTCGACTGTGTACAGAGTACACAGAAACATAGGGTACAGGACACAGGAAAAGAAGGAAAGTTGGAGCTTATCAGGTAGCAGGAGAGAAGAGACATACATAAAGCAATTTAAATACCCGTTAGTGCTAATTGGCATTGCCCTGGTGTTAATGAAACAGGTGGTCAGAGAAGTGGTGTCTGCTGGGAGCTGGGGCAGTGAAGAGCGGCTTCCCGAGGCAGAGGTCTGGTGGGTAAAGCTGTGGGACTTGTTCCAGGCGAGACCAACTGTATTTGAAGCCTTTGCAGCAGGAATGAGGAAGGCACATAGGGAGGCCTTGTGAGAGAATTTCAGGGTGCCTTTCGAAGTGATTTGCGTTCCATACTTATTTAGAAAGGTCTTTTGAATTACCAATAAAAATACTCTTTTATATTCAAAGTAAGAAATCAAATCCACAACCCAATTAAAACATTAAACTTGTTTGGAACTGAGTCCCTTATAGATAGTAACAGTCACATGCATGGGGCAAAGCAATAAATTACTTTCATAGATATAATTATAAAACATTGTTTGAAATATGTTTAAATTGGTTTTTTTAAACAGAGTCTCACAATGTAGTCAGGCTGGCCTTGAGCTCACCCTCCTGCAGCCATTTTTTTTTTTTTTTTTTTTTTTTTTTTTTAATTTTTTTTTGTAACAGGGATGGAACTCGGGACCTTGTGTTTGGGAGGCAGGTGGTGGAACCACTGAGCTAAATCCTCGGCCCTGGCTAATATATTTTTAAAGTATGTGTCCAATGAAAAATAAAACTGTACATGGGTCAGGACAGATTTTCCGTGAAAGTCACACCACGTGATCTCTGGGTGTCCCCCAGAGTGAGGACAGTAGGACTTTCTTTCATAGGGAGAAATACCTGGCCAGAGAAAGCACAGCAGTGGGGAGTGCAGAGGTAGGTGCAGTAACAGAGGAGCTCAGTGGGAAATGTTTCTCTCCTTGCTGCTGGTGTTGGTGAGGTGGAGATTCTGTTTTGTAACGCTTGCATAGGCTTCAGTGTTTGCTTATGCTGACAGGAGGGGGCAAGTTTGGGCTAGGGGAAAAGAGACAATTCTGAGTACTGGGGTTTCAGTTAGGGTAGTGGGTATTTTGTCCGCGTTCATTTTTTATAACACATACATAATTCAGCGAATTATTTATGAGACAAAGAATGAGAATTTGGAGGGTATGTGTCTGGCCTTGTTGTAGGTAAATGAAACAGTCGTTCATGAACCTTTTCTTCGTCTCAGTGGTAGGGGTTGGTCTTCATGGAAAGCCCTTTCCAGAAATGTGGAAGGATGGAGGATTTCTAAACTGTTTATTCTCCAGGAGCGCAAAGCTCAGGAGAGGCTCAGCATTGTCGTACACACGGAACGTGACCAAAGTTGTGACCTTGCTTTGTTATAGCAAGTTGTGTAGCCCATGTGGCTTGGAAACAGCTCATTTATTTCCTACAGTTTGGGGGAGTCTATGATGGAGGTGCTCATCAACTCTTTTCCTGGTAGGGTTCTCTTCTCCGTGTGCAGCTGGAACTCTTGCTTTATCCTCACCTGAGAGAGGAAAGAGGAGAGAGAGAGAGGGATAATGAAACAGAGGGAGAGAGAAGAGAGCCAGGGAAGGGAGGGGGAAGGGGGAGAGAGAGAGAGAGAGAGAGAGAGAGAGAGAGAGAGAGGGGGGGGGGAAGAGAGAGAGAGAGGGAGGGAGGAGTTCTTCTACTAAGGACATTAATCCCACCTCTGAAAGCTTCACCCTTATTGCCCAATTACTTCCCAAAGACCCTCCTTCCAAATACCATACCACTGGGCACAAGGCTTCAGTTATGTAGATTTTGGAGGGACACAAACATCTAACCCATAAGAGGTGACGCTCTAGACTGGCTTTTGTCAGATATAATTTCAAAAGTCTAATTTAACTTAATAATTGCAGTGGAGTTTCACACGTTTCTTTTTCTATTCTCCAGTGGTTTGTTAGGAGCATTAGTGATTATCTTTTTTATTCCCTTAAATATGTAACATCTTCTTTGGTGAACTGTCTTTAACTAATACAGACAGTTCTCTCTGTAGCATTGAGAGCCAGTATTCCTCTTATCATAAACTGAGGGGCTGGTCTCACTGTGAACTCCTAAGTGTCCAAACTCCATTTATTCTCCAAACCCAGTTAATTTTGCTTTCTTCTTGAGGTCTCCAGATGCCTAGCCTTTTTTTTTCTCATTAGGCAGCATCTTGTAATAATTGTGCCTTTTTTGCCTGTTAACACAAGTGGAAAATAAGACTTAAAATTTTAAAGAAGTCATCATTTGCCGAAAATCGGCATCCAGGGAACAATGGCTAGGAGCCCTTAGGTAAAATCTGAGGGTCATAGCACCACACCACATTCCACAGCACCTCAGCACAGGGATTTCTGTGTGTTACTATTTGGAAAGAGGCATTGTTAATATACATTTGAAAAGGGCCATGGCTACAGATGAAAAAATATCAGATGTTGTCTGGAGGCTATTGACTTAGTTTACTCTGGACTGGGGTTGCTGTGTCACTATGGAGGGATTCATTTCATGATCAGAACAGGAGGAAAATTCAGTGGAAAGTCAGCTTTCCAACTGCCCTGAGTAAAGCCAGAGGTAATGGATCAGCCTTCCTGAGTAATTTTATACCTGTATTTTACATAAATTAGGGAGTAACATGCACACTGTTGGACTCTTGGTTTTTTCCCATCTAGTGATACATACACTGGCCATGTAGGTTGTGTGTGTGTGTGTGTGTGCGTGTGTGTGTGTGTGTGTGTGTGTGTGTGTCTGTGGCTCTGAAGCCTCATTACTCATGGATTCTGTATTTGCAAACTTGTCTACTTACTAAAATTTGCTTGTAACTCTGAGTCAATACATACACATGTTTGTGATCGTTCACAGTTGTCTGTGGAGCAGTGATACACGTGAGTCATCCCACTCATGTGTTTCCAGTTGAGGTCAAATGAGGAGATGCTCCGTGCTCTGGTTTCAGCCCATGATATAGACAAGTGTCCTTTCTGCGGTTGATTCAGCGCCATACTCTTCACACTTCAATGCTTTCTGCAGGTGGCTCCACTGTTTAGAGCACCCTCCTCCCAGGTGTACTGCGGGAACATTGTCCACAGTCCCTCGGCATAGGAGGGCTCTGGTGTGCCCTAGGCAGGAAGGCCATGTGTTAAACAAACATGAATTTGTTCAGGCGTGAATTAGAGCACCTGTGGTCATGAGTTTGATGTAAAGAATCATTGAATATATTAAATAATGTGTCTTTAAACAGAAACATGCACATATTGATTAGTTACATACATTAGTTATATATTGATTAATTGATGAAAATGTGACCACAGGCTCCAGGAAACTAATCCCGTGCTTCCCATAGGAGCGATGATTCAGTACTTGCTAATTCAGTGTTCACAGTGACTTAGTTTATAGAACATAACCACCACAACTAATGAGAATCAGCTGTGTTCACAGTATACATACATACACACATTATATATGTAGAGTTGCACAATAGTCTACCAGATAGGTATGTCATAGTTTATACACTATCCTACTAATGTATATTCGGGTTTTTCCTATTACTTGCTATTAGAAAGAAAGACAATAAATAAATATGTTTTCTTTTCTTTTTCAGGTATAACAGATTTATGTGAAAATTTCCTAGACGTGGGATGGTTGGATCAAAATATATGTACATTTATAAGCTCAATAGACATTTCTGAGTCATCTCCACAGAGACAGTACTCAGTTATGCTGCCTGGTGCTACCAGTGCCTACCATCTCTTGGAGCTCCTTTGTCCCTGAGCCAGGCAGCAGAATGGTCGCACACTCCTGTCTTTTCTTCGTATTTTCTAAGACCAACACACAGAACTTTATTTTTGAGAATATTTTCTGTGTGCTGGGGACATGAGAACAAGTTTAAGCATGCAGGTATTTTTAGCCCCCCCCCCCATAGAGGAGAGTGACAAGGCACAACACACAGGTCCCCATGAAAAAGCAGTCACAAAGAGTGAATGTGTAACGTCCTTTTATCTGGGTCTCTGCAGCACAACATGCGGTTTCTGGAATCTGTTTAGGGACAGG